ATCGTTGAGCCGATGCTGGGTGGAGGCAATGCTGAAGGGGCATACGACACGCTCGCGGAGGTCTACAAGAACACGCCCGATGGCTTTTTGGCAATGTGCCCCTACCCGCCGGGAGGCGAGGTCGACCTGCTGATCGTATCAGACTCATCACTTGCTCTGGTACCTGACCCCAACGCAGGGAAGGCTTCGTGTTTTTCCGGAGGCGATCTTCTCAAAATGTGGGGAGACATCCGTGGCATATATACCAAAATGTTGTGGGGCAAGGGATTGAACCATATGGTCCAGTATATCCCCGAGGCCATCGATGACATCGAGTCCACCAATCGTGCACATGGTCGCCCGGTTTTGCCGGTGTTGGTCATCGTGGGGTGGGCCGGCAATGATGTGTATGGCGAGGGGGGTTACAGAGGTGTCCATTGGATTCACAGGGCTGCCTACAACAAATCTGCTGCCGACCGGGAGGTCACGGCCAACTGGTGTGAGCGGCAAAAGGCAAGAGTTGAGCGGTCCGTCAACGAACTGGGCCAGCTCAAGCGTGATGAGCCCCGGATCCTGGACATCGTGGTCGTTGGGAATGCTGACGCGGACATCTTTGCTCTCCCGGCAGCCTACAATGAGACCATGCGTGTCCACATCAGGGCACTGCGTGAGGACCATGGTATTCAAACTCTGGATACTACATTGATGCTTGCCAGGACTGTGAGATATGACAAGGTGCATTTGGAAGACGATGCCATCAACCGGAAGTATGTCACCAACTTCCTCCAGGCCGTCGCTGATTGCCACCTTGCCTACCTCAAGCTCATCAGCGTCGACGATCACTTGAGGACGCTCCCAAGAATCGAGGATCTCCAGGAGCAGAAGAACTACCCGAACCTCACCATCCTCAAGGCCGCGTACCAGCTTGAAATCGATTCGAATGTATCCTCTCCAAAAGATCTTCCTCAACGACCCGATCCTGAGAAGATCATGTTGGATGCAGACATCGAGATTTTCAACTGGGTGCTTCAAGCTGAGGAGAACGCCGCAGCCTCTGCCGACCCGGAGGTCGAGTCCTGGATGCGCGACATTCCTGAAGAGGACCAGGCATTGGAACCCATGCACCATGACAACGCTGATTCGGACGATGAGGCTGTCAAGGTTCAGGCCCTCACGATGGATGATCGAATTTTGGCAAGGCGACAAGGCCTATCCGAGGAGCACGACCAAGAATGGCAAGATGCCACCTATGCGGCCGAGGATGAAGACGAGGATTTCAAAGGGTGGGACCTCATCGAGGATGACAAACGCCCGCCGGGAGTCGTGGCCAGTGACCCAGTGCATGAAGAGGAAAAGGAGCTGGACCTTGACGACCTCGAGACGGTAGCTTCGGTGGAGATTGTCGATGAAGAGGAGTTCCACGACGCTGAGGAGGGGCAGGCCGAGCCGATCGATGATGATGACGATGATGACATGGCCGTGATCGACAAGGTCTCTTCTATGCAGGCCTCGAAGTCTGATGCACGGGGGGACCCGGAGCCCATGGATGTTGATGATCAGGGCAACAAGATGGTCCAGAGTACGGCATCGGCGAAGACCTGGAAGACGGACATGGCCCAGAGCTCATCATCGGCAAAGACGTGGAAGACTGACATGGCCCAGAGCACCTCATCTGCAAAGACATGGCGAACGGACACCACTGCAGCTGCGTCGGCGGGAGCCACGCCTCCTGACCCGACTTCCAAGCTCAAGCCCAAGAAGAAGGCCATGCCAAAGAGATTGAAGGTGGTGGATGAGGGACATGGGCCAAGTGCTGAGCAGTTTGACACGTCGAAATTTGCCACAGCACAGGATCTGGTTTGGATTGAGCCGGACAACATGGCAGGAGTTCCTGTGCGCAAGGTGGACTACGGAAGGCTTAGCTCAATTTCCCATGCTATGTCCGACTACCTCCGTGGCCACCGATTGTTTCACAGGAGGCCTTCACCAGAGATTCGGAGGACTGATTTGTCTATGGACTTCAAGACATTGGTGAGGCATCTCCAAGGAGATTTTGCGCATCTTCGAGAAGAAGAAGTACTGATGGTGGTAGTGCGCAATTCCCCAATGCGTCGCTTCCGTGTCCAGGTGAACGGCTTGTCGTCCGGAAAGCTCAGGTGGACGCCAGTGAGGATCAGGGCCATTCAGGGCCATCGGGCCTTTCTCGTGGAGCAAGGGGGGATGTCGTCCATGATCAAAACGATGTTCACTTTTGATGAGAACTTCGACGAGACCAAGGTTGACGACCCATCGGTTCACCCCGCTTTCTCCGCGATGCCGGAAGGCTCGCCTTTGTGGCACAAGTTCCCCAGGGTGGTGTATCACACCTGTGACCAAGCCGCCTTCAATTCCATCATCAAGTTCGGCCTCATCCCTGGCGGATTCCCGTACAAAACGGGCAGAGCCCACAACTTTTCAACTCCACTCCGCCCTGGAAAGCGGAAATGAAAAAGTTGCAAGGTACGCGGGCCGGGAGGCCAATCGCCATCGCGTTTGATATGGAGCTCATGATGCAAATGGGCTACAAACTTTTCGCGACTGACGAGGCCATCCTGTCGCCCGATTGGATCTCGAACCTCCCGATGATCAACGCCTTTGATATGCGTTCGGGCGAGTTTTTCTATATCAACAGGGCTTATGTCAACCATCGGAAGACTTACCAGGAAGTCCTCAAGCAGGCCAAGGCCGAGTTTGATCCGACGGACATTCTCATGAGCCGCATGGAGATGTTGATGGAAAACGCCCAGTTGAACTTCGAAGGCATCAAAGAGCGCATCGAGTTTGGCAAGCTCCTCCCCTTCTCCAGGCGTGAAGACATTGAGGTCGAGAAGAGTACTGCCACCCGGGAGGGTGAGCCGGCATCAGGTTCTCAGCTGGTGCCCGGCTACACCATTGCAAAGATGGCCGCCATGACGAGCACTGATGCATGTGGCTTTCAACGTCGTGGACGGAATGGACCCGGTGGTGGGAATTGGAACCGAGGGCAAGGTCGACTTGGATTTGAGTTGCAATGCAAGGACATCTCCTACAACCAGATTCAAGACTCGCCTCAGGTGCGCTGCAGCCATCCGATCTGCGGATATCTGATGATGGATGGACATTTGAAGTGCCCGCGCTGTTTCCGGCAAATGGAACCCGTGACCGATGCCAACATCGCCACGGAAGTTGCCCGCCGGGAGGCGATGGCCCGTACCAGAGGAGTGCCCTTTTCCATGGACAAGGTGATCTTCAACCACCCACGGAGAGGCCGAGTCGCCAGGCAGCAGGAGAAGGGATCTTCGTCTTCTTCGACAGCCGTCCGGACCAGAAGCACCTATGGCAACTTGAGAGATATGGCCCGCAACTACGTCAGATCTTTCAAGAAAAGGGGCTTCAAAGACCTTGTTGACAGACTCGTCCGCGACCCATTCTTTCAGTTCAATGCGGCGAATCAAAACTTGGTGCCGGAGGCCTTGCTCTTCATTGAGCGCTTGGCTGGCTGCGTGAGTCCGACCATTGAGCGAACCAAAGCTCAGGTTCTGGGTGAAAAGCTTGAGATGGCCACCAAATTGATTTTTGTGCCATCGTCGGAGCGGGAGCCCGACCAACCCTTGGATCTTCACACCGAGGTGTTTGTGTCACATCGGGGCGTCTTTCTCGACATTGGCCAATTCGCAGTCTATGTGGCGAAGTTCATCAAGCCAAAGCAAAGGCCTCTGCCCATTGTTTATGGATGGGGCAACCGTGACTTTGTGCCTGATGCTTCGGATGCCAAGGAGATCGCGAAGGAGTTGGTGGAGTTCAGCAAGCTGCAATGGTCGAACTATGCCTCACAACAGACGCACAAGGAATCTGAAACCACCGGCGACGACCGGGAGGTCAGTCTTCCTCATGCAAGTGCAGCCATCAGCCGACCTGAACATGAACGACCCCATCATGAGCAATTCGAGCCAAACCTTGGCAAGCCTGCTCGCGGCGGTCCTTACGGTCAGGGCTATGGTGGGAAAGGCCATCACAAAGGTGGAGGACAGACCAAAGGAAAGGGACAGCAGAAGGGAAAGGGCAAGCAAGGCAGAAGCCCACCGGGAGGTGTGGCCTATGGTGACTTTGAAGGAGATTCCTACTGGGTTCAGGGCTACCGCTACACGTGGTACTGGAATCAACAGCGAGGCTGGTACTGGCGCTGGACCTGAACTACGGGATGACTCGCATTGACGCTTAGGTCATATCTTTCTTTTCAAGTTTGCTTGCCGGGAGGCATGCCTGTCTATGACAAACTTGGCAGGCATCGCACCCATTGAACAAACCAAAGCTTTGACGCATATTATGCATCATTCCATTTAAATGAACTTCAATGCACAAATTTCCGCACAGTTTGGATGAATTAAACTTTTACTTCAATGACTTCTCAAGCCATAAGATTGGATGTTCAAGGCAAGAACTCAAATCGATTCACACTTTTCATGGCTGTACAGTTTTTCCATGCCATGGTATCCACTTGGAGTGATATTATAGGAATGGTAAAGTTCCTTCATTCCATTTGAAGATGCCTGGCGGGAGCCTTGGCCATGCCGTGTGCAATTCCGAGCCTATCTCTGGCAAAAAGAGCCCTCGACGCAATGCATGCTTTGCATCCGTCCATCGCCTTGACATCCGATTCCTTTATCCCTACAATGCATCCGCACCGAACCAATGTATAGTTGTACAACTGTCTTACTCAGGTCTCATCGCGGCGGCAGACTGCAGGCACTGATTTACCGGGGCTGCCAAGCAGCCACGGTAAACAGGGGGTATTTTTACGGGATGTCATTAGGTAATATCCGTAACCTCCCTGTAAAGTGTGCCCTGTAGTCTACTATATATTTCACCTGACTTTATGGCTCAAGAACAAAATAGCGTGTGTTTTGCTGGCTGATTGAGGTTGGTACACCTGTAAACATAGATCAGATCCAACTGCTGCCCAGCTTGTTTCCCCTTCCTGGTGCGGTTGGCTGCTGGCACAGGTGTCACCAAGATGTTCACTGCGGCCACGATAATGAAGATGGTAGCGGCGGGGCGTTTCCGAACCTGGGCTGCTGATAATTTTTTTCAACCTGTGGGAGATGGTTCGAGAGTGAAACCCCCAACACTGACATTCTTGGCTCCGTGCTTTGAAAGAACATGGGTTTGTCTGAAAATACGGTACCTCTAAAATCATCATTTTCCCTGAAAAATTTGAAGATAGCTATTTATTTCCAGAGAAACCTACTGATTGATGACTTCCAAGCCGATAAAGGACTAGACGATGCTATCGCGCCTTTGGTGGATGACTTGCTGGGCAAAATGGCTGCCAAGGACCATCCCATGGAAAATCGAGTCATCCCGTAGGATGGATCAGAAATCTGTGTACCCAAAGATCTTCATTTTTCGCCAACAGCGTAAGCTAATGGGTTCTTCAGCCCAGAATTAGCTCCGGTGTGCACTGGTGCAGGCGCCGGGTCAGGTTCAACGAGGTTCCGGAGAAGGTTCCGAAGGTTCCGGAGAAGGTCTGGGAGGCTTCGGTGCAGAGCCAGGTCAGGTTCAACAGGGCCCCGGAAAAGGTTCCGGAGAGGGTCTGGGAGGCTTTGGTGCAGAGCCAGGTCAGGTTCAACAGGATTTGCGTCCATTTAACTCAGGGAAACCCAGCTGAGGCGTTTCCAGCGCTTGGCTTCGCAGCACGCTTCAGAAAGATTTGTAAAAATAAAACGTTGCAGCTGTTGGGGATACCACCGAAGTTTTTTTTATGATGGATATTGATGGATATGGCTATCGGATATGATATCACATGTCATTTGTTTTTTATGATGCTTTATGATATCGTGTCATATTTTCCATATGCTATGTTTTCATTTTGCTGTGTATGATGGCAGTGGCCCCCTTGATAAACATAGATCAACACAGGACCCCTCCCAGAAGTTCAGAAGCATGGAAGAGCTCTGGGGACCCGACTTGGCGAAGACGACCTTGCGACAACTTTTGGGCATGCAGTTCCTGGCGAAAGCGGAGGGCGTTGTGTGCTGGTGGATGTAGAAGTATGATGAAGTACAGGGGTTGGGTTATGGTAGGTATATGTTGAGATTGGCTTGATTATGTTTGATTACACAGGGAAACCCAAGGGCCGGTTTAAAAACACATTTGAGGAAGGTTCCTGAAAACAAGTTTTTTTTTTTCGGAAGTAAACAGTCGGAAACATATAAATGCAAATAAACAGACACCTGTGCACACACACACACATCACATTTATAATTTTATATATATATATGAACATACGGCATAGATATCCCATTGGCAACTGCCATCACTTCAGCTCATTCCGTGGCCCGTTTTTCATAGCGATCAAATTTTTTCAAGGTCCAACATCCCGGACTTTGACACGGCCACGCCCTCTAGGGGCCAAGGTATGTCCAAGGACACTAGGGCTGAGAACCAGTCCATCTTAGATGGAGATTTTGATGGGGACTCCATGAACAAAAACATGGATCCAGCCAGCCGCACCATTCCATGGATCATGGAGCCTTAGGGAAAATTCACCGCCACCAGATATCATCAAACTCGTTTGTGGCATCTCAACGGCAGCTTCACGGCAGGACCCGCTGAGGGCTGAGTTGTACAGCGAGCCGACGCATTTCTACAAACCCACCGAGCTGATGAGCGTGCCGTGGGTGGCGAACCACTCCAAGGACTGGGATGGTGGGATCAGGTGCTGGGGGCCTGAACCTGTGGTGAGATCCAAGTGAGAAAACCACTGCAGCACCATGGCCATGGGAATCTCGTTGAACAGCCCCAGATTTCTGCCTGTTCTCATCCGGCCCAGCGGAGAGGACTGCAAGTCCCAGCTGATGTTTGGAAAGTTCTGCTACAGCAGCACCAATTTCATGTTGCTGGGCATGGCCCTAGCGCAAGCCACCGGAGCACCTTGCTTTGACAGTGGGGGTTGGGGTCATCTTGTGAGCTGAGGAATTGACCTCATTCTTGATGCAAATCATTGAAGATGGAGTCCACCAACCTTCCAACCTTCTAACCAACCAAAATTTATTTCGACTGATTATCGAAGATTAAACTCTGAATCCAACCGATTTGTTTGGACATGACATGACTGATGAAGGCTCAAACCCACCCCAGGTATGCCTTGGCTCTCACCAGGTGGAGAACTGGTCGGATTTCAATCAGACAGCGCTGCTGCCGGAGTATCTGCAGGGGAAGATCCGCTTCGCCAACTCCGGGTCTCCCAAGGAGACGGTTGGAGGGGGAGGATGCCAACTGCACATCTGGATGACATAATGGTCACTGACGGGCAGATGATTGACCAATAGGCGCCAAAGGAGTGGCTGTCCGACATTTTTGCAAAACCCAGGAGGCTGGAACTGTGCCGGGTTATGACCGCACCTCCTACAACCGGGCTCCTGGTACCTTGGGAATGGTTGGGTTGGGGGGCCACCTGAGCTGCGGGAGCTGGGAATCTTTCGGGAAGGGAAGGAACGGCTCTGGCTTTGCTGAGGCAACTTGAGCAACCATAACAACTGGGAGGTGCGGGGGGTGCGGTCTTCCTGCAGGTTTCACCCTCATGGACATTTCTATTCCTCGTTGACCAAGTCAAATGCAGTCACGTCTCTGTGATCGTTGGGTCAGTGAGGTCATTTTGTCCTCAAAGGAAGCTCGTCACTGTTGCAAAAATGGGTGAACTTCAACAGGGTTGAACTTCAATGATACGCATTTATATGGTTATTTCATCCAATCCGAATTTTCCCCGATGTTCACCGCCAGTGTTCCCATATGGTCCTGATTTTGCAACTTTTCCTGTCAGAAGTTTTCCCCAAAGTCCTGGAGCTTCCCCACGTTTGCCCATCATTTATCAACATTTTCCCAGAACATCCCAAGATTTCCTCATTTTTCCCTTGGGTTTTCTAATTTTTCCCATACTTTAACCATTTTTCCCATGGTTCCCCCGTGGTTCCCCTGGTTCCCCGTGGTTCCACGGGGTCTCTGCCGGCAGGTGGACGGCGTCTTCGCCGGCTGGACGGCCAGCAACGTGGTGGCCAGCTCCGAGCATATCGCGGATCTCAGCTGGGAGATCTGGCAGGCGCACTCCGTGGCGCCCAAGGCGGGGATGGGATGGGATGGGAATGCCATAGGTTGATATGAGATTTTTGTTGATATATACCCTCTGGTAATTTAACAGTTTGCTATTGAAAATGACCATATATAGTGGATTTTCCCATTAAAAATTGTGATTTTCCATAGCTATGTTAAATTACCGGAGGGTATAGATATATATATATGCCATATCCCATATTTATCCCAATATTTATCATATCTACCACAATGCCATATGTTGATATTTATGATAGATATGGGATATGGGATGATATTCTGGTAAAGTAACTGGATTTATCACTGGTGGGATGATATTTATCACTGGTGCTAAACGTAGGGAATTTTCGGGAATGATCCACTGGCTAACTATCAATAATAGTCCCAGCAACCCCCAGCAACCCATCCATTCCCTACGTTTAGCACCAGCAAGTCATGGGAAGATTTTCATGGGAATATCATGGTCGATTCCTGAATATTGGAAGATTTATGGGAAGATCAAATGGTTGAATATTCCCAATATATTAGGGAATTCTTATTATTGTGGATATTGTGGCGCGAAGATAATGAAAAGATCCAATTGTTATTATTGTACCTCCATAGGATTCTGACATATCCATTGACTAGATATCCCATGAATAAGAACTTGTCTATAGTCCATATCTTCCTAATCAAATATCCATTGATCATGGGCAGATCTCCAGGAATGGGTGGACCAGATGATCCCTGGGACCATGCGCATCTATGGCCTTGGCGCCTTCAACGTGGCGCGGCTGATCCCGAAGATCGGCTGTGGGGATAAGGGATAGTGATCCCCTCAAAGATGATCACTACTTTAGTGGGAATTTTTTCTCTTTTTCATTTTTTTGGGGATTGCCATAGCATATAGTACCCCCCAAAAAATGGGATAGACATCCCAAGCTACGTATGTTGTTTATTAATATGTGTAGATGACATCCCAAGATCAATGGGTTTTGGAATCTTGGCAACCAAAACAGGCTTGGAAATAGATCCACAGCATTGCACATCACAGAGAAGTGATGACGGGATCCTCAGAAATACCTCATTAAAGACTTAAAAATCCATGACAAGAATATCCATTATAGTATAATGATAATAATGGGATATTAATGGGATACTATTATATATAGTGATATTAATGGGATACTATAAAATATCCAATTATATCACTATCACCATTTACTACTTCATATTCCACTATAGTATCCCATTATATATATATGTATAATATCAACATCCCCAGAAATACTCCAGCAAGGACTTAAAATTCCATGATGATAATACTCCGTTATCTCACTATCACCATTTAATAGTTCATATTCCACTATATATCCCACATTATATCAATATACTATCAATATACTATCAATATACTATCAATATACTATCAATATACTATCAATATACTATCAATATACTATCAATGTACTATCAATATACTATCAATATACTATCAATATACTATCAATATACTATCAATATACTATCAATATAATATCATTATATCAATATTAACAATATTAATATCCCATTATATCAATATATATATATACTATCAATATCCCCATTACTCCCCATAAATATCACCAGTTTGTCCGGCGTTTGAGGTTGGCCTCTTTGCTGGCGGACAGCGTGGTCCGCTAGGCCTGGGACGATCGTGGGATCGCGCCTGGAAAAGATCTGTTGGAAAATCTGGATTTTTTTGGAAATTTTGGAAAAAATTGGAAAATTGGAAAACAATTGGAACACTTTGGAGAATTTGGATTCTTTTGCAAAGAATTTTGGGATCTTTTTGGAAAACAATCTTGGGATCCAAAACTTTTCAAACTTTGGAAAACCACGTTGGGGTCATTTTCAAAAAATGGAACCAGCATTTGGAACATGGACGGCTTCTTATTTTCCTGGTTTGATGGGCAATTTCCACTTCGGGTCCATTGGAGGCAAAGGCTATGGCCACTTGGGCGCCACCTATGGAGCCTTGCCGAAAGACATGAAATGGGCCCCTGGTTCCATGGGGTTCCATATACCCTCTGTGTAAACATACAAAAACTATGGAAAAATCCACCCATTTTTCATGGGAAAACTCACGACATTTCAATGGCCATTTTCTATGTCGCAAACTGTTTGTTAAATTACCAGAGGGTATTTGGCTGAGGCATGACATACTGTAACAACTGAGAATGGATATCAATGGGTGCTCACGTACACTCCATTCCACCCTGGCTGAGAGGAGGATATTTTTTGGTATGACAGGAAAATACCCTAGATCGTTAGATTGCTTCATATTTAAAGCCATCGCCCTCCGGCGCCGCCTCCGGCTCCCCCTGCCGCTCACAACAGCCAGGTGTGGACAAGTGCCAAATACTCACGGCTGTGGCCGCCTCGTCGACCCGTTGGGCGACCACCTGGCCGCCTGCCCTCGAACCGGCGCTCTAGCTCGCCGCGGACACCTCATGGAGCAGGCTTGGATCAAAATTTGCCGTGAAGCAGTTGGGCCAGAGGGCCGCGTGGTCCCCCAACAATGGCTCAACAGAACCACGGCGCCAGGCGTTCCTCCCGAGGACCGGCGCCGGCTCGATCTCGTGGTCCACGGGGCCACCGCCTTGGGCGTGGCCCTATGCTGCGACGTGACAGTCGTCTCGCCCCTCACCAGCACAGGGCGACCTCTCCCCCGCGCGGCAACCCACGACGGGACCGCATTGCAGCTGGCACGAGCCCGCAAGCACCGTCGGTACCCAGAGCTGCTCCGCGCCGGAGGCCACCGCTTCCTCGTGCTCGGCGCCGAACTCGGCGGCCGCTGGGACCAGGAGTGCCACGATCTCGTGCGCACCCTCCTCGCTGTGCGAGCCCAGCGCGAACCAGCGGCCATCCGGGCAGCCGCCATCTCTGGCTGGCGCCGCCGCTGGTGGGCGGTCCTCGCCTGCGCGCTCCAGCGTGCAACAGCCAGCACGTTGCTGGGCGGGGTGTGGCTGGCTCCGGCTCAAACCACCGGCACCGCGCCCACTTTGGCAGCCGTGCTGGACTGGGCTGACCCTCCAGCCCTCAGCCGCTTGCCGCTGCGCTAGCTGTCTCACCCGTTTCACCCGCTCCCGCGCCACAGAACCGGGATGGAGGATTGTCGCCGCAAAAAAAAAAAACCGTATAAAGCCGTGGGCGTTCCTGTGCATTCCTTTCTCCAAACGAGCGCTTCCTTGTCCCCCAAGGTTATCAGAGCATCGTGGGATTCTTCCCCGAGCTGAACGTCTCCGTAGCCATCGCCACCAACATCGAAACTGACAAGCAGGTCTGGAAATTGTCCATGCCCTCTGGTTGGATGGGTTGAGATCACACACTGGCAATCCTGGTAATGTGGCTCTGGAAAATCAAGCAACTAATGGGAAATCAGGTGCGATGAAGGTGGCCAAGTTCTGGAGATCCCCCTTTTGATACGGGCCAATGATTGGCCAGGTGCAAACCCCTGATAGCCTCTGCTTCAGCTACCATGTGGCGGCAGGCCATGGTTGGCACAACCATTTCCTGTGTTGGGGAAGCTGTGAATGAAGGTGAACCCCCCTCCGGAAATTATTGTTCTGGGTTGCTGGGAAGACATGAGAAGAACCATCCATGGCATTTTTCCTCCGGTAATCAAACATGGCAATGAAAATTCCACCATTTCGTCCCATGATTTTTCCAGAAAAATTTCGTTCTTCCATTCATATTCCATTCTATGCCCATTGTATCATCATTTTTGTTGCGTAAATCCACCATTGTTGCCGGTCCCAATCCCTGCCACCAGGTCTACTGACCAACAAGACCTACCAATGCACTTTCGCGACGCAGGGCTATTACGGTGGCCGTTGCTCCTGTGTTGAGAAGCAACCGACCGGTTTCACCAACGTCAACCTGGTGGTTTGAGGAAGATTTTCGGGGGCGACATGCCTCGCCTTTTGATGGCAATATTTTCATAGATTCTTAGGTGTTGAATTTTTCTAAAGCTCATTTAATGATTCCCTTGGGGGTGTGGAGAATGTCGGACAGTGATTCCGACATTTTTTCCCCTCATACTCATATTCTTTTCAACCCAACTGTGTTTTTGCGGATCTTTCAGGTGGGTTCTGACCCCTACAACGTACCCAATCATGATATCCCAATGCTCATAATTATGACAATCATTAATCTTCAATTGTCATGTCAATCATCATATGATTATCGTCACATCCTTTTGAAGCCAAAAATCGCTCCCTCGCCACCAGATTTGCGCAGTTGGCAGCGTCTGGAGCAGAGGGGAGCGGTCCAATTCATCCTGCCTTTGGGCTGTGCGGGTAATGATGCAATCATCTCTCCCTAATGGCAATGATGTGTCCATAAGAATTGTAGAAAGTCATGGCGCGCGTCCAAAATGATTGTTTAAGAGTTCTTTAGTTGATTTTGAGGAAGTGTTGGTTGATCTTTGGGATAGATCTCGGATATTCGCCACTAACTGTTCCATTACGAGTGGATATTACCACGCAATTCTTCGATGCTTTCTCCCTGCGACCACAAGCGTAATGGTTCCAAACCAATTCTACGAACTATAACTCTTCCATCCCACAAAAAAAAGCATAATTCATCACTCATCACTTTCTTCCATCACTTTAAAAATGGCCGAATTCATCCCACTGATGCACAGAAAATCTGCCATTGCAGTGGACATCCCCTCGATTCACAGCTCCACCGCGCCGTGGCTACCAGGGCTGCGGAAATTCCACGGCGCAAATGGGAAAGGAACACACACATATGGGGGTTTTCATAAATGGGACATCTCCAAAATGGATGGTTTTTTGAGGGAAAATCTGATTATGGATGATGTAGGGGCTGTTGCTCGGACCCCTTTTTTGGGGGCAAACATCTCGGCTTTTTCTTTTGGGGACTTTTGGGGTGCGTAGGTATGCGTGGATCTGAAAGGTATTTGGATGGGGCCGCAGATCACCTGCTCTGACTGGGTGTGGGGGGTTTAGATGACATATTGAAAAGGCCCATGCAGATGTGGATTGGTTCGCGCCGTGGGTTTGCACTGTGGTGGATGGTACGTCAGAGACGAAATTCCTAGAGAACTCAAACCATTCGAGCACAAAAAGGGCGGCAGAGTGTGAGCCGGGTTGGAGGCCAAGGCTGGAAGGAGGTGATCATTATCCTGGTTGTAACAGAACTCCGAGTGAGGGATGATCATTTCAACATAATCCCTGCCCCGAATATTAAACACCCCTTAAAATCATGGTTTCTTAGGGGATTTACTCGATTTACTCCAGTTTAGGGGGTCTTTGATATATTTCATATGGGGGATGGGATTATTGCTATTCAAGAGGTGGATTTCCATGAAATTCCCATGATATTTTTCCATGTCAAACCCGCCAGGACCTGCAGCCAGAGTGGCAGGTGGAACAGGTGAATGGCCGGCAGTTAACTTCGCTTTTTATTTGGGGGGTTTGGGAGTTCAGGTTCTTGAGATGGTGGTTCAGTTGGATTCCTCGAACATATTTCAAGCCTTCTTTGGCATTTGTATCATTTTGTATCCACATTCCAATTTTTGTCCACGATTCCCATGTCAAAAGCCTCCAAGAAGAAACACACCATTTGGTTTTCAGTTGAGATTTCCATGGATTTCCTGCGCTTTACCATGACTTTACCATGACTTTACCATGACCCTTGGATGACTGGATGGTTTAACCACCATAAATTCCTCTGCCAGGACTCCTTGCTGCGACGCCTGGAAGAGCAGCTGAAGCGTGTGGAGGCGACAGTTGATGACATATGGAGCGAAACCAGGGATGTGCCCGGTAAAAATGATGCATGCCGCGGCCGGGCTCAGTTGCTTAGGGGGTGGCTTAACCCGCAGAGACATGGTAGCGCAGGAACTTCTTACAGAGTTGGCATTTCTTGTGGAGTGGCACTCATTGAGGATGGTCCAAATGGTTTCCATAAATGGGGGTACCCCTAAATCATCAATCTTAATAGGATTTTCCCTTATAAACCAACCATATTGGGGATGTTCCATTTATGGCAGCCCGCCAACGATTGCCGCCCCCCGGCCCTGTGACCTGATGTTACCAACTCCATGGAGAGCGGCGTGGCCGACTGGGGCTATCGATTCCGGCAAGTGGAGCTGTACAACCACCAGGTGGGAAGGTGGAGCCTAGTGGAGCGGCTTATGCTTTTTGTTTTTTTTGAGTCACCAAAAAACCCACTGTGACTCTTCAATCTTTTCATCTTTTGGTGATCATTTTTGTGGCCTGGGTTCTGTAGTTTTTTTTTGGGGAGATGGCTCTTGGTAGATCATTGGTGTGCAAATTGATAGCTGCACCCTCACGACATGGGTTCAGGAGTGGCTCAGCTTTGACTTCCCGCAACATCCAGCCAAATTCTATGCGACTTGGGTGGAATGGGAAGGAAGATCGCTTGAAAGTGGGCGGGTGCTACAATAATATCTAGCACATTCTGACACAAAAACTGCCATGGGCTCTATGAGATCTATAAGTTCAAGCCAGCACAGAAGGCATTCAGGATGGGAGTTTGCTTGGAATCTCAATATTTTTTTGGCTCATCATTGGTCCGTCATGGTGCTGAAATGCCAGCTGTGCACTCGGCGGCTTTGAGGTTTCAAAGTTGCAGCTGGATTGGGATCAAAAGCAGTCGGGATACTCAGCAATCAGATGGCAGCTGGTGCACATAACAGAATATAGCAGAATCCCAAAGATGACGATGAGATTTTCTATTGCACATAGCGCAATCCCCAAGATGATGATGATATTTCCATGGTTTTTCCAATGTTTTTCCTTCATCATATGGTGGGTGCCAGATGTTTCTCAGTTGGGATCATGGCACCGATGGTGACCCTCTGGTGACGTCAGAGGTACACCACACTTCGGCTGGTGGATACTGGAGGCATCGACTATTGGCAGGGCGGAGTGCACTATTGGCATAGCAAGGCCATGGAAAAGCGACAGCAGTGGGATGGCGGCCCGTGTTTTGCTTGTTGGATCTTGGTTTTGAGCGGTGCCTGGTGCCTTGCTGGTCCTGTTGAGAGTGAGTGATCATATTGACGCTCATGCTGATGAAGAAGAGAACAAAAAACCGATGACAACGAGCATTCATTGAAAGTTGATAATTAGTAATGATTTCACGAGCATTCATTGAAAGTTGGTAATTAGAAAGTTGGTAACTAGCAAGTTGGTACTGTAATTGGATGTAATTTGTACTTAGTCTCTAGTCATTCTTGGCATCATCTCATCAATCCCCAGCCGCAGGTGATCTTTTTGGGCGCTCCGCCGGTCGAGGTGAACTTCTCCTCGACCGGCCGCGCCCAGCGTGGCCAGGGGGAAGTCTTCGACTACGCGCAGGCCACGGGCGGTGTCGGGGGTGGAGGGCTATGTCGGGCCCAAAAAGCCAGGAAAAATTCAGGAAGATGGCTGAAAAATATCGGAGAATGGTAGTTCCGATGAGGTTAATCATGTTAAACGTGAAAAACCATCCCAAAGAAGCGGGGTGAGGATGGGCCAAGGCCGCTGAAGGTTTGTCGTATTGATTGGTGGAATATGGTGGAAGGGCCTGTTTTTTTTTGTGGGTTTTAGCCGTTGCGGCACTTTCTGGGAATCTAACATAAATCTAAGCTTTAAAGGGGAACTTCCCCAGAAGGATATCAAATGTCATCAAATATCCAGGTACAGATAATTTTTTGAATCCTACATGATAATTTCCCATTGCTATCTTGGATCACCAAGGATACCAAGGGGTCCCTGCAGATTCTGCATATTTTCCGTGGAATGTTGCCACTGGCGGCTGCAGGTGGAGGTTAAAGAAGCCCGGCAGCTTCATGAGGAGCACGGCTGGTGGGTTTGGTTGGTTCTTGGAAAGGAGGTGAATGGTAAAAGGCTATGCCGGGGGGTTTTGACCATCGAATCATTATAATCCATTGTATAAGACTATATCGAATGATGTTCCTGCAATGCGTTCTCCATGTTTTTGCAACTGGATGTGGCTCATTCCTCGCCGTAGGGGTGGGGCCAAAAGGAGAATGGAGGGGATGAGAGCTGGTACTCCTTTCAGCATACCTTTTCCTTGGCACCTCGGCTGTAGCCGCTGCCAATGTGCTGTGCCAAGGTTGGGCCCAGCTGCACATCCCAATCATGTCCAAAATGATCCCGAAACCTCGGAAAACATCAAAGTATCAAATCATGTTTCTGGCCTTCGCATCATTGCAAGGCTTTAGGAATATCTTCAATGAAGGGGCCACCAGGGAGTTTCAATGATAAGGGGGGGTCATGCAGGACTGAAGCCACCCAGCTCGTGGGGTTGTGGCCAGATGTCCACCATGATTTTGAGGCCGGTGCCATGTCATACCACGACATCGTGGCGGCAGTGGCTGCGATGGCATGGGAATATCCCTACTTCACCTGGGATGAAGCGGGCCTGGGCCTTGGACGCCTGACGCTGAGAATATGGGGACGGCTGGTTTTAGCATCTGGGGACAGATATTGACATCCGTTGAACCAATGCATTAAGGATTATTAATGATTAAAACTCAGGACAACAACAATTCAAAAGATCAGCAGGATAGCAGTGTCAATGGCACACATGAAAAATGGGTGAGTTGCTGTCCAGGCACTTTTGAGACGTGTGGCCAAAGCATGGGCATCAAGGAAAGCCACTGCAGGAGCCATCACACGGATCCGACTCTTGGCATCACTTTCCTGATGTGATTCCGACATCGTTTTCCATGGGTTTTTCCCTGTGATTCCGACATAGCTGGAATTTGTGTATATATATATATATATATATATCTATCATATATATATATGTTGTTGTAGTTCTCCCCACCCATTTTCATCCCATTTTCCAAGGCTAGGATAATCCCTGTGAGATGCCGCAGGATCTTTGCGGAGCGACTGCTGCGACAGCTGGTGGCCATCGACGAGTTGGCCAAGATCCCGGGGGATCCTGGGCAGCGAAGGCTGTTGATGCCACTGTGGGGATCCCATGGGAGACCTATGGAGACCTGGTCCCCGGTAGCCCGAGGACATGGACGTGGCCTCCCGTCTGCCCAACGTCCTACGGGTACGGCAGGACGACGTGAAGTTGTGCGCTGGTCCACTGGGCTGCTGGGAGATGATCAGCAGGTGGCTGAAGAGTTGAGCCCAGCAGCCACTTGGCAGTTGTGATAGGGGCGTGCTATGGTGTAGTCCCTTTAGCAACCATACAACACTAACTCGCACTTCGACAATCTCAGTGGACCACCTGAGATTTGATATGGTGTGATGGGTGTTTTCTTGGCAGAAGTTGGGATGAGACCTCTTTTAAAAGGGGAGTTGAAGCTCCAATGTTCAGGAGGCAGTTGCACGTTCCGTGCCCAGGTGTCAACACGTCAAGAAGGAGTTCGAACGCTTGGCGCAGATCAAGTCTCGACAGGGAGACAGAGAAACATTCAAGACCCGTGGTCTTCAGATTGGCCTGAAAATTGAAGTGCTGAGTAGTGCAAACAGGTCCCATGGACTCAACGTCAGTTTGAGGAGCGAACATGCAGCTGGATAATGTGCAATGCACAATGGGAGCACAATGGGAGCTAACGTTCTTGCACATGCCTGGAAGAGCAGAACTCAATCCCGCGTTGAATTTTCCAAGTGGGCTTGGATAGAAGTAGTGGGTGGCACGATTGTGGTGGCTGTGCGTGATGTCGCGATGCTGTTGGGCAGCCGGTTGGGTGAAAAAGAGTAGACACTGATTGGGAAGGGCTGGGGGTTGGATCCCCTTTCGAACATTGAGGAGGAAGACTTGGACACTGGAAATGTAGATGACTTTAGGGTCCTCCTTGAAGTTTGTTGGAATCCCAACCTTACCTTGTATTGTGGTACAACTCTTTTGGGGTTTAGGAAGTTGGTTGTTGGTGATGGGCAGCCATTGTACAACACTACCATTCTCACCTGAAGACACCGACGGTGTCGAGTTGCCATTCCACAAAACTTGATAGGTGAAATCATAGTTCCTATCATTGCAGCAGTGCTCGAAGTGATACCATGAGCGAATCCCATGTATGATTCTTGCAGCCTGTGGCTCAACTTACAGCCCGCGTGTCGCTTTTCAAGGGGTCTGACAATGCAGACATCATCAAACATCCATACCTGGCAAGTCAAAGATCGCTTTAGGCAACGTATCGGTATAGCCAACTCTGGACACCATACTGGCCCACCAAACCCCATCCCATCCAGAAGCGCAATTTTCCATGGTAATTCGGCAATTCCATTGAACCCTGGAGAAACACCACAAATTTGTTGATCAAATCCATCCTAAAATCCAATGGTTTGCCCATGTTTTCTCCCCATTTGGTCCCCTTTCAGCAGCCCCGTTGCGGCCATGGGCCATGCGCCACGGCGGCTATGCCGAGGAGGACGCGCGGCTGCGAGGCCGCGCGGAGCGGCTGGCGGAGGAACTGCGGCAGAGCGAGCGGCGGAATCGTCAGGACGTTGGGGAAAACCCGAGGAGTGGGGAATTTGAATTTATAGGTGATTAATGGTGGTTTTATCAGATTTAATGGGATTCCTTTGGGATTTATGAGAATTTATGGGGATTTTGATGGGGAATTTATGGTGAGTAATGGTGATTGAAATGGGAATTGATGACATGTATGGGTTTTGTGGGGCTCATTGGAGTTAATGGAACTTTATGGTGATTAATGGTACTTGATGGTGATTTTATGGGATTTAATGAGAAACCATTCGGATATAGCGGGGATATAAGCCAGCATAGTGGGATATAAAATGGCTGTAGTGATGATTGGGTAATCAAACATTTTAGCTGGGACAATCATCGAACTGAATGGCTAATTTTCCAGCAAGCCAGGTTTGATTGTCAGCGGGTAATGCGGTGAGGCCCTGATCTTTGAGCAGCACAATTTCCATCTTCCGCCACGGTGCAGGCGCAAGAAGAGAGAGAAGAGGCCGACGCCAGGGAACACGAAAAGGCGGTCCATGCCCGAGCGGAGGCGTGCCGTTTGGATCTATTGTGCCTGTGGGATGGTGGGAAAACATGATGTGATGGCGGCCGTGCTGTTTTTTTCCCCTCCCCTTGGCAGGATCTGTTTCCGTGACGTGCAACGCATGACTTCCAGGCTGCGGCAGTCCTGAGAGCCCATCAGCTGCGAAGGGCTGAAGAGGAAGCGGAGGACGCGGTAGTTGGAGCGGTTGGATTCCATAACATAAAGACATCATGACGTTCCGCAATGATATGACAATCCCAAAAATGCATGACTATTTAACATCATTTATATAATATCATTTAAATGGAACATTCCATTGTTTTCAGGATTAATATCATTTAATATCATTAATATCATTCCATACAGTAATAGAACATTCCATTTAATACAATGGTTTTCACATCAGTCAGGATTCATCCCATTACTGGAGCTGAATGGAGTCACCACAGCTGTCAGGAGCAGCGCCTGCTCCACGAGGAGGTGGAAGAGCAGCAAACGGCAGCAGCGGAACGAGCTAAGACCATCAGCCACTGGGATTTGGGCGGTGAAGTTTTCCGAAAAAAAAAAGTGGTTGGAACATGGTTGGAACTTGAAACCCACAACCTCAGTATGCCAGATTTTCTGAAAAACATGGTTGGAACCTATAACCTCAGTATGCCAGTTATATGGGTATGGATCAATACCTATTAATACCATTTTTAGGGGGATGAACATCCATAAATCCCAGCTATTTTGATGTGAACTACAGGGGTACTATTGGTTTTGACACACTGCCATATGGAACCCAACATCCATCTGTGATGTTTTTGGATTTTGGGAGTTCTACAACCCGAGGGAACAACGCCCCAAGGCGCCTTGGTGGCGGCCGCCTCCCAGGCAGCAGCCCGCGCGGAGCGGCTGCATCTGAAGCTGCAGGGCGCGATGCGAAGGAAGCAGATGGAGCTGCAAGCGATGGAGGTTGGGTGGGATATATGCCACAAAAGTATCGAAATGATCCAAAAGAACCACAGATCTGCTAATTGAAGCCAATTGATCACTTGGATTCACTACAAAATTACCAACATGATCCAAAATCTAGCAAAGATATGCTACTGTACATCATCACTTGGATTGTCTCATTTCCAGCCAATGGCCAACAGAAACTCAGGCGCGTGCCGCCCTGGAAGATCGTCGTGCAGCGCAGGAGCAGCAGCTGAAACGTGCGCAGCTGCAGGCCCCGTCACAAGGGGATGAATGGGCCGTGAAGGACCAATGGGTGGTATAAACCATCAAACATGGGGTGGTCTATGACATTGTTTTTACCCACACTACAGTACAAATAGTACAAGAAATGTTCAAATTGAAGCTTTCATGTGTTGGATAGTTGGGTTTCTTAAATGGTTAGGGACTTTGCTGGCCACCCAGCTACACGCATCTTAGAGACGTCATGTAATGGGAGGTGCTAAGAGCAGAGGTGGCCGAAATGGAGAAGCTGGAGGAGGACTGATATGTTTGCTACCTGCTACATGAAGTCACGGTAAGATACAGTAAGGGCGTGTGATTCTTGCGCTTATGGAAACCCAGTGCCCATGATCTGTCTCTGTTGGACACATCCAATCAGTTCATTCAAAATCATTCTAATCAAACAGTCGCTTGTTGGAATCTAGTTTTCTACCAACAAACCCTTCCTGACCTGGCCTAAGCACCGAAAAAATAGTGGGTTTCTTCCACCCAGCCGTTGCCACCCCAGGAGCACCGCGCCGCCCTGGCGCGTGACGCGCGCGAGGCGAGCCTCCGCCGCGAGGCGGCGGCGCGGCTCCGCCCGCCTGGCGCAGCGCAGCCAAGGCGCCGTGGAAGCGCCGGTGCAGCGGCGGAACACGTCGTTTGGCTCGGGTGACTTGGAATGGCAATTGGATGGTGATTATGATATTTATGATACATCATATACATCATATATGAATGATGATGGTGTTTATATTTGAAGATATTTGATGTGCCAACTGAATAGAATTGTAAAATTTGACCGCAAACATGTGGGGCGCTTGAATGTTATCTGGTATAGGAACTGATGCAAGGGATGAAGGTTTGTGGCTTGAGAAACGGCACAGGTAGACAGAGAAAGTAACAGTTTTGCAGATGCCTGAAAGTTTTTGTAGTGGGGCAGGTCCAGGTTCAGGTGAATTTTGCCATGAAACATTTGACTGAATGCAGAACAGCTTGGCCCATAAGAGCGAGCCACTGGATTTGGACCTCGGGATCATTGTTCAAAGAAGGGCAAATTTGACATTATTTGGAGCAAGATCTAAAGTAGTTCAAAAGAACATCAGATAGAATTCTGCATTTTCAACTCCGAAATGAGGTGATTCCGAAACACGCAGCCTCATCACCTTGCAAACGTTGCGCCAGCAACTGGCAGACGACAAGCAGCGTGGGGACATGGCCAAAGGCGAGCTGGAGCAAAAACTCCTGGACCTCCGCAGCGAACGCCAGCAGCGCGCCGAAGAGTTCGAGGCCACCGAGCTGGAGATCGACACCCTGCGGCAGTTGACCACCGAAACCATGGCAGCTGTGGAAGCCCAACTCGCTGAGGACGCGGCGTTGCGGGCGCAGTTGGAGGCTGCCACGGCCGAAGAGGTCCAACTGCAACGGGCTGAGCAGGACGCCTGGCGCGCTGCACTCTGCGCGGCGCAGGGGCGCCGGGAGGCTGCTGCGGCGGAAGAGGCGGAGGCACTGGCGGCGCAACGGTTGGGGCAGCAGCAGCTGGAGGGGACGCGGAAGAGGGTGGCACTGCTGCAGGTGGAGGTGCAACAGCTGCAACAACAGCAGGGGTTGGGACCAGCTGCTGAGGAGGTGCAGGAAGTGAGGGAAGAGTTTCGGTCGAAGGCGGAGGCTCTCGAGGAACAGCGCCAGGCCACCTTGTGGATGGAAAGGGAACGGCAGCAGAGGGCCTCCAGGAGGTTGGAGCAATTGAGAATAGCTGTGCGAGGGCTTCATGAAGCGGAAGCGCATCGGAGTGGAGGCTGAGGAGGAAAAAAGTAATGCAACTGCTTGAAGTGGCTGGATGGCGAGGGCGGTAGAGAGGGTTGAAACTGCACCTACCGTGCCACCACAGTACACCAGAAGTAGAGTCTTGTAGAGCTTTTTTATTCACATCGATTCACATTGTGTTTATCAGTTTCTCCTCACACATCTATATCAACTCATACAGAGTGTGGATATTACTATAAACTCCCCAAACATCATGGCATTTCAGTATCCCATTGTTCCTGGATCCGTGCACCTCAAGGGTTGGCCATTGAACCGATGGGATGATGCCAGGATCCTACCGTGGACCTGGGAGCTATCGCCTGGGTGGAGCCCAGTGCCCCTGTGAGCGCGCTGGAGAGCATGGAAGGCGCAAGGGGCGAAGGTGAAGATGGAAGATGGCAACACTGTGCAAAGCTTGGAAGATTGAAGATCGGATCAATTGATCCTGTTGGTTGTGCCAGATGGAGTAGATAAAGCATTGTAAATCCTTTGATAAAGCTATGTTGTCTTTCTTGAGGGGCTTACTGACAGTTACATGCAACATGCCACAAGAGGCAAAACGAAGATCATTTTATCAAGAAAGTTTATAAAGTTTGCAAGATGCAAGATTTGTCATTCTTTTTTCACAGGAATTTACTCACCAAACCTTCCCATGGCAACCTCCCAGCTGCCACCAGGTGCCGTTCCGGCCACCTTCGCCGCCGTTGCCACGGTCCCGGCCATCGCTGCTCCCAGCGAATTGGTTCCGCCGTATCCATCGGACACGTCAGATCCATGGCCATCGCTGCGGCTCTTTGGGGATGAGGACCCGGGCGTCGCTTCCAATGGTTGGCTCGGGGGGGACTTCCAGGGTTGAAACTAGGGTTCCTTTCATAGCTAGGCTATATCTGTATATTATGTTTTATCTATACTGCTATATCTATAGAACTATATTATACATTCCTTTTATACAGATTCATACATGAATGTAATCTGTGAAAAGGCATTTTCTCACGTATTTTGATGTCATACGGAGTCATGTCATATCGGCCATGAGTCCTCCACTTGGATTTCAGTCTGCAGGATGTGGAGCAAGTGGCCACGGAGCTGTTGCGAAGAGCTGCGGATGAGGAGCCTGACCGGTTTACCCGTTGGCTAAGTTTCAACCTCAAAGACGAGTTGGATGAAGGCATCAGACCGGTCACTTTCCCACAGGAAAACCCAAAGGCACATTCAAAATCAGTGATTCGCCATGGACGGTTACCATTTTGAAGCAGTGCCCAAACCCTGCTTCATCACATGTTGTCTTTGGAGGAGTGGCGTCGCGGACGTGGTGGTGTGGGATCCGGGCAGATGCCACTTGACTTGGATGTTCCAGGATGGTAGCTGGGATGATCCTCAGTCCTGGATTAAGATATTCTAAGTAACTTGCCCCTCAATGACCAAGCTTCTGGCCAAGCCAAGCGGTTGCTCCAAACACGGTTGGATAAGCCGCCGCGTTTCCGGCGTCACGGTTTCGGTCAACTACTTTCATGTGAATTGAGGCCACCCGTTGAAACTGGAGAGACCAGCCAGCGACCGCCTGAGTTCGGACCTTACATTCTGGGCGAATCTTCTGCACTCCAGAGATGCAACGACAGCTGCAGTAGATTCAAATGAGGCGTCTTCTTTGTTAAGTTTGTATGCAGCCTAGTGTCACGCACCATCCTTCATCCGCAGGGTCTTGGCTCAAAAGTTTGCAGTCACCATCCACCGTCAAACCCTTCGATAGGAATGGCACCCAGATGTTTTAGATGATGAGAACGAGAAGAAGTCCATCGCGACTTGCGGCAGTACTGGGGCTCTTTCTCTCTGCTCTGCCGTTGAAAGGGCTGTTATTGGTCAATCCTCGCAGAGGTGCTGAAAGGACATGTTGGTGACGGGTGGTGCTTGTGGCTTGCGGAAGTGCTGCCAAGATAGACGTACTTGCCACAAAAGAACAGAGAAATAATTGAAATAATGAATTGATAAAGCAAAAAACAAATCACATCCATTGCTCCATATGAGTATTGACGTGTTTCTCAAGCAGACCTGCACCGGAGCGGTTTCAAGTCCATCTCTGTGCTTGCCAGGATGCAGACCACAGCTGGGATGATCATGAGAGCTGCGCCGGTGCATTCAGCTAGCACTCCAGCTGCGTTTGGCTAGTGCTGTGGCTACTTGAACAATCTATCAGTTTTGGTGGAGATGATGTTTTTCACGTCTTTTACGTAGCTTTCCGGGCTAGATTTTTTTGTGCATGTGATTTCGCAACACCCTGCTCAGTGAGCTCAGGCCCCGACGAGCGTGACGCGGCCTTCATGGAGCGCCTGCGGAACTTGGCTCAGGAGGCGCTGACGTGGCCCCACCTGGGGGAGAGGCAGCGGTTGGTCTGGGCGGCTGCGCTGGAGCTGGATGCAGTGCCACTGCAGGAGCCAGCTACATATCACATGCAGATATTGAACATATCCTATAAAACTATATATATATATAGAGTACACACATCCGTCATTGTGGGGATGAAAGCTTAAAGATGTGCAGTTGCCAAGTGTTGCGAAGTGTTACCGGAGACTGATGGCAGGAGCTTCCTCCCTGGTTTTGGGAGCGCCAGAACATCACACGTCGACATCCAGGCAAGGAAAAGGTGGTTGACTGCAAGGCACATGTGGTTTTTTGCACAGGTGGATTCCTATAACAATCGTGATACCATGTGATACCCCTTTCTGTGTCAGCTACACTCACTGGGAGAATGCCGGATGAGTGAAAGATGGTTGTAGGCTGTTGTTTGCATATTCTACCAATGCTTGGTCTTGACCAACAGGCCTGGACTTGCTGAGTTTGGACGGTTCGCATGCCGTTGGCTGCTGGAACGCATCGGTTTCCTTCAAGGAGGTGAGGCGTTTCCTGCGCATGGCACGGTGGGTCTACAAGGCCAGGGTGACGGATGTCAGTGATCCTGTTTAAAACATTTTGAAACGGTGACGACTCTGTCAACCTGATCACAATGGTTTTAAAACACCCCAGAAGGAAATGCCTTGATTTGTGACCCACTCTGTTGAGGCCGAAGGTGTCCATGTTGCGATGTCAGACTTTGCAGCACCCTGCAAGGCCGAGAAATGTACCGTGCTGACCAGCAGCCGTCGGTTGCCGAAGAAGGTCAGAGCCTGGCTGCAGAACTCCGATGCCCAGCATCGGGTCATCACAAACTGTACGCTGAAGAGGTCGCGGGTGGGGTTGTGGAACAGCGATCGAATATGCCGTTATTGGAGAAGTTCGGCCCCCCAATCCCCTGCATGAAGGGCTTCAGTTCACAAGTGGCATGAATGCGATGCTCGAAACGTCCAGCCCGCAGTTTTGGACTGGTAAGTAGGTGGGGCACCCAGTTTATGCAGATGTTGTTTGTGTGTGGCCATCATTCAAGCTGCGTGTTGCGCACCATCGGCGTCAGGTTGAGCGCCCGGCTTCCTTCCGCAGCCACTGACGGCAATGGTGATGTGCAACCGCTCAGACCATGTCAGCGCGACTGTCTGGACGCATGCGCCAAGGGTGCTCGAGTCCTGGAGATGGCGTGTGGCACGGGGAAGACGAGGGTGATCCAGGAGTTGGTGTCGAACGTCACCGGAAGAGCAGCCCGATTGGTTTAAGGACATTCTCCATCCTTTTTGGATCTTTTTGGGTCAACTTTCAATACTAAAATGCTCCAATAACCATCCTTATGGATGCTGCAAGATGATGCCAGATGATGCAAGACGTTTATGCATCAAATTGTGGCATCCACCCACCAAGTTTTCGGCATTGCATTCAGTTCCACAGTTTCAGTTTTATTTCCCCACATTGACGTGTGGGGTTTTTGTTTTTAGTTCTGTATCCGCCTCCCGCCGCCGCACTCCTCCCGTCCCCTCCCTCACACTCACTCACTCTCACTCACTCACACTCACTCACTCACACACACTCACTCACTCACTCACTCTCACTCACTCACTCACTCACTCACACACGCACACACTCACACACACACACTCACTCTCATTCACACACACACTCACTCACACTCACACTCACTCACCTCACACTCACACTCACTCACTCACACTCACTCACTCTCACTCACACTCACTCACTCACACTCACTCACTCACACTCACTCACTCACGCACACTCACTCACACACTCACACTCACTCACTCACACACACTCACTCTCACTCACACTCACTCACTCACTCACTCACACACTCACCTCACACTCACACTCACTCACTCACACAGTCACTCACTCACCTCACACTCACTCACACACACTCACTCACTCACACACTCACTCACTCACACTCACTCACTCACTCATGTGCATTTTGCGTGGCAGGCGTGGGACAATGTGAGCAGCCAAGGGGTCGGATGTACGCCCTGGCGTCCCTCGGGCTCCGCGTCTTTCTCACACAGTCACTCACTCACCTCACACTCACTCACGCACACTCACTCACTCACACACTCACTCACTCACACTCACTCACTCACTCATGTGCATTTTGCGTGGCAGGCGTGGGACAATGTGAGCAGCCAAGGGGTCGGATGTACGCCCTGGCGTCCCTCGGGCTCCGCGTCGTTTGCGTGGCAGGCGTGGGACAATGTGCACTGCCAAGGGGTCGGATGTACGCCCTGGCGTCCCTTGGTCTCCGCCGCTTTTGCGTGGCAGGCTTGGGACAATGTGC